TCTCCGCCGCCACCGTCGCCGCCGCCACCATCTCCGCCGCCGCCCTCGCCGCCACCGCCCTCGCCGCCGCCCTCTTCTCCACTAGCCTGGACTCTGCCACCACCCTTCCTGCCACCTTCGCCACCTCAAGTCCCACCGCTCCTCCCACCTCTGCCCCCTCGGCCACCCAATTCGCCAGCGCCGCCATCGCAACCTCCGTCTCCTCCCTCGCCACCAACTCCACCTTCAACACCTCCCCAACACCGCCCTTGCTGCCGCCACCACCACAGCCACCATTGTCGCCGCCGACGCCGCCAGCAGCACCGCCGGCGCCGCCGCCGCCAATGCCACCGCCCTTTCCGCCAATGCCGATGCAACCTGTGTCATGGCCTCCGCTGAATCCCCCGCCTGCGCCTGCACCACCACTTCTGCCTCCCGCCTTTCACCCCAGACCTTCTTTGCCGCCTCTTGCTCCTCACCCCTCGGCCACAGAGTGGTGTGGCTCATGCCCGTGCTCCGACTGCACCCCAAATGACATTTTTGAGGGCGAACCCGGCTACGAGGAGTTCTGTCGTACTCCGGTATGGGAGTGCCCGGATGCGATCTGCTCTTGCTGAACAAGATCTGGGTGATTTTGCTGTGTCCACTAGCTGTTGTTTTGTTGTCCACTAGTTGTTGGTTGTTGTCCACTAGAGCCGTAGTTTGAGCGGACCCGTGACACTGACAGTTCCGACTTCGTGCGTCTGTCTATTAGCATGTCGAACCTGCGGGCGACACCACGACGAGGAAGGGGATCGTTGACGCAATGTCCTTCGGTTGCATCCCGGTCATTTTCCCTCCTATGTATGGACAAGCTGTGGCTTTGGCACGTAGGAGGAGATTGGAGCGCCTTCGCGGTTGTGCTCGACACGCCCCGCAACCGTAGTGCGGTTCCCGGGATCTTTGACACGCTCGCACGCATCCCACCCGAGGTGGTTTCGAGGAAACGGGAAAGGCTAGCCGTCGTCTCGAAAAGACTATAGACTTGCCCTGGGTCTCCCCGGGGAGCTACCAAAGGATCATGATGATTGGCTGACGACCATCCTCAAGGCGGTTTTCGTTGGCGAGGGCTAGGGGAGAGAGAGGTGTGCGCTGCCGGTCGGGGGGGACGTAGTCGCTGCGGTAGCAATAGTTTGTAATTCATTTCGCCCAAATATTCGTGGTCTGCTATGCGAAACGGGCTGCAGCTCGTAAGACATTCGGCACTTGCAGCGTGCTTTCCTCGCTACCAACGCGGCCAAAGGAAGAGTGCTTTCCAGCACTCGCCCTCCTCCAATCGTGCTCCCAGGTCGCCCAGGTTATTGGCTTCCACATCCAGCACATGCTGCCCCTGTCCATCGCCCCGCTGGCTCAGGACCCGTGCACTGCATACGCCGAGGTTTTTCGTGACCCGCATGTGAACTTCGCATATGGTGGCAGCGCTGACTTCCGCGGCCGCCACAATGCGCTCTACAATTTTCTGTCCGCGCCAAATTTTGCGGTTAACGTCAAGACGGAAGAGGCTGTGTTCACACTCCACGACGGTGATCTGACGGTCAACGGAACGTTTTTGACAGAAGCGCACGTCGTGGCGCGCATCTCCCCACAAAAGCTCGCCACCGCCTCGTTCTGGGCGTCCGAACTCGACCGCAACAACTTTGGCTGGCAGACCATAAGTGGCACGTGCGTCGGCCGCCCCTTTAAGTTTGGTCACAAGGGCCACAAGGATTGCTTTGGCTTGAAGGTGGCGATGATCTACGCAAGTGGGACCTTCCAATTTGGCGAGTGGATCATCTCCGTGCGCGGCATGCCGAGCTGCGAGGGGTGCCTGATCGCCGGCCCAAAGCACCGACTCGACGTCAGCTTCACTGCGCAGGGCGACGCACCCTCCCGCGAGAAGCCGCACGGGATCATTGGTCACGACCAGCGCTTCCCATCGCGAACCACGAAGAGTTCCTCTTTTGACAGCCCCGTTTCTGTGAGTAGGCCAGTCCTACGCGACGATTGGGCAACCGCGCAACGGCAAGACCGACGCGTACCCTCCGGCGGGCAGCATCACCACCAGTGCAATGGCCGAGGGTGCCATCGAGGGCACGGCCTCCGACTACGAGGTGGCGAGCGCACACGCGACCGAGTTTGCCTTCTCGAGGTTCGATGCCCCAAAAGGCGACCCCCTCTCTGCAACGGGCGCAGTCTCCACCAATTTGGTGGATGCGTCGGCCATCGAGCGCCTCTCCCCTCTCGCTGACGCCGCCGACGCCGCGCGGAGCCGTCGCCTGCAAGAGGTAGTCGACGCCGGCAGTACTGGCTCAGCTAGAGGTTGGCCTATCGCCGGGCAGAGCCGCCGTCTCTCAGAGACGTCGACCTCGACGCAGTGCTGTGCGGCCATCGGCCAGTGCCCCAATCCCGAGATGGAGTCGCTTACTGCCGAGATGGAGACGCTCCGGACCCAGGTGCCGGAGCCATTCCCAAGACCCTTCCCGGCCGCCGCGCTCGGACTTGCCGTGAGCACCTCTGTGGCATGGTGACACGTCCATGGCCTTTCCCCGCAGGTGGCAGCGCTCCTTGCAGCTCCTGTTCCGACGGTCGCATATGGAATTTCAGAACCGAACATTCAAAATGTACAGACACCCACAATGGACGGGGCGTTGGACTTCTCGCCGGGCCCCAACTACGAAGCGTCGAAACTCATCCTGGAAGGCATCACCCACTACGATGGGAAGCTTATGATCAGGGGGAAAGACGTCTCTGCGAGGGATCTGAGCATTGCGTTCAAGGATCTCCAGACAGTGTCCATCGGGATCGATATGGCCTTCGGGAATGGCGTGAATACGGGGATTACCTTTGCGCCAGGCGACGACGAAGTCGTCTTTCCGTCGCTACGACGCATCCACGAGCTCAACGTGCCTGGGTGCGGGAGGGCGACCTCGTGTTCCTTTCCCGCCCTGCAAAAGATCGACAAGACCTTCCATGCCATGGGAGACACCTGTGTGCGAATTGGGAGTCCTTGCAACACGTGGAAAAAGCTTTCCCTCCCTAGCCTCCAGTACGCGAGTAGAATTGGGCTGCGCAGCTGGCCGGCGTTGGAGGAGATCGACCTCAGCAGCCTTGTCGTCGTCGGCAGCGGGGGTTTCGACATTGGAATGACGGTAGGCACGATGTCAGAGCTGACAACCATAACCATAAGCCCCAACTTCCTCCTGGCCAGGGAGTTTGTCAAGTTCCAACGGGTTCCGAAGCTCAACTGTAACAATGGAGCCAACACGGGGCTGAAGAACATGATCACCAAGTGCAAAGCGGCGAACCAGGCGGATTATACTTGGAATGCATGCACGGTCACTGGCAAACCGCCCGGCTGCTAGGCAGACTTTGGGGGGGGGGGGGGGGCACTTGTTGATTCTCAGCCACACGAGGGGGCGACATGATGAGGCGTGTCTAGCACACTACAGTCTAGGAGATTAGGGTCTGTCGTTCGACCTCGACCTCGCCGCCTCCGCCACATTACCGCCTCTAGCGGGCCGGATGCTCGGGGGGACGGGCTGCGGGCTAGAGCGCCCTGACCCAGGGTGCGGGTGCGCGTTCGCAGGGAAGGGGACATAAAGTAAACACGGGTCTCCGAGGGGTCAACCACAGTGTACATACGGCTTTAAGAATCTCTTACGCTCTCCGAGGGACCATGTGGAAGACGGCTAGTGCTAGTCCCCCATCGGGAGAGGACGACCCCGGCTAGTCGCCGACCACACCCACAAAGAACCCTGCACAAAGATCGCAAGGGCGGGGACCTGTTCCTTTTTACCCATCTCACAGTAGAGGTGTCCGTTTTTATTCCTACGAGCTCGTATGCCACGTCGCCGCCTGTGTTTGGGTTTCTATGTTTGCGATTTGGAATTTGGTATTTGTCTAGTTCTTTGTTTATTTATTTATTTATAGTCTTACGGCTCTACACCGTATATACGCGCTCATCTTGTGATCAGACATCCGGCGCCAGGCTGCCGGCCGACTACACGGTATCTACCGTGAGTGTACCCGCATGCGCTGTGATCCTTTTTTAGGCTCCTCCCGGGGCTCAGCCTTCTTGTTTTGTTTTGTTCCAGCACGATTCGACCCAGCACGTGCCAGTCCGCGCCTGTGTCGAGCCGGGGAAAATCCGCGATTTTGGAGGTAAGCCGTCGGGCTTAATTTCGTACACCCGCGCAAAGCACTTGCCACGGGCAGTCACACAAGCCCATGGCGACAGCCGGGCGACCACAGGGACACCCACAACGGACACACACATTGTGCCACACCACACCTGGCTCCAACGTGGACACGCCCATAGCTCTGGGGACACTACATACACTACATTGCTGCCTTTGTGAGTAGGGATCCCTGCACTTGGAGCACTTGGAGTGCAGTTATCAACCTCACATCCAGGGCCGGGGAGCTAAGAAGCGCACCCAGCGAGCCGGATGATCGGTATCGGGTTACGGGCAAGAGAGCCCTAGCCCTGGGGGTACGCGTTCGCAGGGAAAGGGCCTTAAAGTAAACACGGGTCTCCGAGGGTTAATTCGGTTTTCCTAGCAGCAGACCGCCGCCGGGCGCCGCGATTTCTTTTCGTTCCTGGCTCGTCTCCACCGCTGGTGCTCGCCCCGCCACCTGCTCTCGTGCGCTCCCTCCTAGTGTGCCACCGCGGGTGCTGGCCGGCCCGTGCGCGTCGAGCGCACCCGCCGCAAGCCTCTCTCACGACGGAGAGGGCGTGCAGGGGGAGAAAAGGGCGTGCGCAATGGCCACCCCGGCAGCGAGGGCCTCGCTCTCTCGGGCTGTTGCCCAGCCGTCCGGCGGCACCTGCACGCCCATACGCCCAGAGTGCTCGAGGACCGACCGCCCCATCCGCGTGCCCCCCTGTGTTCTCAGCCATGGCGCCGAAGAAGGAGGACCCGAAGAAGAGCGCCAAGAGCAGCGGCGGCGGCAAGGCCAAGAAGAAGAAGTGGTCGAAGGGCAAGGTGAAGGAGAAGCTGTCGAACCTGGTGCTGTTCGACAAGATCACGTACGACAAGATGCTCGCCGACGTCCCCAAGCTCAAGCTCATCACCCCCTCCATCATCTCCGAGAAGCTCAAGTG